CATGCCCGATGCTGTTCAGAGGAGAGCTGTCCGTCTGATCTGTGATTCTTCTTTAACGGAGACTTCCTCTCTCACGGGAGTCCTGCGGGTTATCACTGCCTGGGGATGCAACAATCTTGTAAAGTTTAATGCTTCCAAAACACAGTACTGAATCTTGAGTATCAAGAAGCATCTTAGCGCTCATTCAGTTTCGGTGGATGGCCAAGTTCTACCATGGAGCCGTTCATTTCGCTGGTGGGAGTCAAGATCACCGAGGATTTGATTTTGCACGAATGCACCTCGTCGTTAGCGACAGCTGCTGGGGAAAATCTGGGCTATTTATTTAGGACTAAGAAGTACTATTCTCAACATAACCTCCTCACTCTGAACAAGGCCCACATAACATCTAGTCTCGAGTACTTCCCATATACTTGGCGTTCAGAAGAGGGCTGTTCGACTGACAAGCGATGGCTCTTTACTAATGGACAGTCTCGGGACCCTCTCGCACCGACGGGCCGTCGGCGATCCAGCTCTCTTTTACCGCTATGTCAACCGGGTTTGCTTCTCATAGCTCTCCTCCAGGATGTCACCGCGTAATGTGCCTACCAGATAGACGCGCCTGACGTCAGCCACCCATCCTAACCGTACCGAACTTCGTACATCGAGAACTGGACGATACGACCGCTCCTTTATCCCAAGGGTATCCAGATTCTAGAACAACCTACCTGAAGAGGTTTTACCCTGTTCTACTATCATAAATCGAATTAACTAAGTTTTTTAAGCTCCTCATATCAGCCGAGGCGTCCAGCATGGTATTTAGGCTTCTGCCTACGCAGCTGTTTCGGTATAATAACAAAGAAGTGTCGAATGAAACCATAACATTCAATACCTGACAGATGATTTTCCGTTTCACGCTTTAAATGTTTGCCGATTACCAGAGGGTTAAATGACGGAACAAGCTAGCTTGTATCATTCATATTACTAAAAAATAGTTGCATTTGAGGCATCTGATAACAAGGTTCTAAAGCGCCGACTATGAGGCAACGCCAAAACCAGAAATGTTCAATCTTTAGAAACATACTTCTGTACTTAAAAATGAAAGAAGCTTAGATAACTCAACAATACTGAGAGGATTTAACAGCCCTCACAACTATTTTAGTTCATTGATATTTGAAATCTGTGAGGGACATACCATGTACGCCCTAAACATGTACTTTCAATTGACATGACATCCTGATAGGGATGTTGCAAGGACATCTTTCCATGAGCATTCAGCGATTCAACCGACGTTTGTTACGGATGTACAACCAGTAGTAGCAGTAGTGGTGAGGAAGTGAAGCCTGGCAACGAGGCCACCTCTGACCCTTTTTTGCCGACGCCGTGATACCAGTACTGTACAACTCTGCAAGTCATCTACTGGTAAACTGATTATTGAATAAACCTGCTCCAGCAGTGCGATATACCTACATAATTATATAGAAATATTGATCGGGCACCGTCTGTGTGATATAGACAACGCGCAACACAACATCCATGTCCCGGAATAACCTTTCGAGACCGAGACTCGAACCGGCGAGCCTTGGGTCTAGTGATTAGTAGCTCGATGCACTAACCACTCGGTTATCTAGGCCCCTGCGAATAAACCTAAGTACATCCTAAGCATGTACTTCCGAACGACGTCCTGATAGGGATGCCCCATGAACATCTTTCTATGTAGCTACATCCAGTCGACGTCCCGCCAAGGAAGTATCAAAAATCTCTCAAACATCCAGCTAAGTACATCTCAGAAATGTCCATCTTACTTACCGGTTGTCCGGACATCATAAGGATAACAATAAGGGATTGCTATGTCTGCTCTACATCAAGCAGGCTTTGAATTAGTAGATTGCCACCGTATTCACCAGATCTGACCTCCAGTAATTCAGACTATTTCCAAATTTACTAGAATATTTGAGACAAAAAACAATCAAATGATCAGCAGCTGATATCTGCCATATGTTGATGTTAGTAACAAAAAAAAATATAAAATATATGTGCGACATATGTGCTCTCTTTACGCTTCTGCTAATACCCGAATCTTGTAACAACGTAGCAAGCGAAAATGCCATATTCAAACTTCGAACAGCATCAAACAGAAAATAGCACCAACGTATCGTTCATTGTAGTCAACGTTAACAAAAACACTGCCATAGCATGGAACTTGAATGAGAGGAAGAAACAATGCCTGTCTGGAATATATAAATGTAAATACTTAGAAATACACGCATCCGATGGACTTATACAAAAAGGATATGCATATCTAAATATTGGATATTCGAAATACATAAATCGAATGAAACTGTGCAGCTATCCTACACACGTAAATTATTGTTCGTCTAGCGTGAACTGTCAATACGAGGTCTTTATTGCCACCGAATGACGTGAAAGTACAATGAGCTTCAATGATTGCAAGTATGCTTGTTCCTGTTGCAGAGTTGCTGGACATTATATCCTCTGTCAATACCTCAAAAATTCAATTTCTGGATTCCTGTTACATACCTATTGATTAAAATATATACCTACATTTATATATATATTATGATATCTATGACAATGTAGAATGTGTACAAGAGGAGTGTGTATGCTGTCTGTTTTGTTATGAATATATTCTAATATTAAGGGGACGTTTAATAGGGGTCAACAAAAGATGCCGTAAAATGTCTTATTAGCGAAATAACAAAACATGTTGATGAAGGTGCATCAATTTTTAAAAAGCATTGTTTGATCACAGAGTGCTTACAGTTAATTTCAATAAATATGTTTTGTACTACTTTTCAAGCAACAGCAACTCTTTACCAACTTACAGTCACTTGCATCAATCATCATACTAACCTTGCGTTAACTATACCAATAACAGACAACATTAAATACTTAGGGGTCTATACAGAGTGTTTGGTACATGCATGGGCGATTGGGAACGCTAGTTGATGATTTTTGAAGGAAACCGCGATGCTCTAAGGGCTACGGTTACCGAGATATGGTCGTTTTTCGTTTCTTTTGCTGAATACCTATAATTGCACATAAATATGGTTATAACTTTTTTGTTTTAGAGATAATGACACAAAATGCTGTGTAGCATATCATTGGAAAGGGAATAAGTCACAGATGTTTTGTAAGTAAAACTAGGTTACAAAAAAGGTATAGGTTTTTTATAATCGAATTTCGAATTGGAAATGATTATACACTCCACGTGATTGTACGACTTTGGAAGGTCATATTTGTTTGAGAAGATTTACACGAACTGTTTATCTGATCTGATTGAGTATACTACATTACAGAACATATTCACGATTATTTTGTGTCATTATCTCGAGAAACAAAAAAGTTATAACGATATTTATGCGCAATTGCAGGTAATTCAGCAAAAAAAAACGCAAAAGGATCATATCTCGGTAAACGTAGCCCTTCTTAGAACATTGAGGTTTCCATCAAAAATCATCAAATAGGGCCCCCAATCGCTAAAAAATTTTGTTGGTTTATGTACCAAGTACCCTATATAGACAATCACTTGATATGGGTTACACACATAATCCACATAGCGAAAAAAATTAGAGCACTACAGATTCAAAATACTGAAAAATAACAAAGCCACGTAATATATGCGATCATAGTTTGGGGTGCAGCAAATAAAACATATCACTTGAAGTGACACAAAAGGCAATAATAAATAATATATAATAACCAAAGAGTTACTTAAAGAAGTCCATTTTTTTGATATACAGCAACTATATTTTTATAATGTAATCGTTTGGCAATATATGATCAAGAACGACTGCAGCATCAAATTACACGAGCACCCATCCAGGAATAAAAATGAAATCGTGATTCCAAACCTGGAAAAAATGTCATCTTGAGATCGCTCCTGTTCTTGAGCCCCAGATCTTATACCAGAATCCATTCTATTCATCAGTTCAAGTCAAAGCTCAAAAAGTTGGTAGCAAACATACCTAGATATGAAGTACATCAACATGTTGATATAAAGAACATATAAGAGTGCGAGAATTTAAAATTTATTTAATAATATATACGTATCTACTTCTTGTGTGGGTCCATTATGAATTGAGAAAAATTAAAAAAAATGTCAGTTGTCTGCAGTTCTACTAAGTTTTTAGGAGTGCCTTGTAAGTAGTAAAGTGACAAGATCTTACAGTTATTTGAAATTGCTGAAAGTAGAAAAAGTTAATAAATAATTATCTACTCACGCACAAGTTTTTACCTTAAGCGAGTTTTGATGATATTTATTTGTCTTTAGCTACACATTCAGATTATTGTGTATTATTATTCTATTTACGTGTCAAATAAAATTATTGTATTGTATTGTATGGATGAGATAGAAAAGATGGTGGAACCAGCTGATTTTTCCAGTCTGTAAAACAATGTATCGGAAAAAGTAAGCACTCAACAGCTTCAGAGTTAAAAATGAATTTGGTATATTCAAAACTGACGATATAGAACCTTTTTTTTTGATATGGTTGAGAAAATAGGATACATCTGCCTGCATCGATTCCATATATTTCTTTAGCACGATCTCTAATCTTTTTGGATTCTGATGATATTTTAGGGCACCTTCGCATTTCACCAGTAGATGGTACAGTTATTCGAAAATTACTTTTTAAACTTTGACAGGCTGTTCTTTCTGTAAATAGATTGTTATACTGAATAGCCTATAATTTTGGTACACATATCGGGATGATGGAAGCGGTCAGAAAGTGGCATTCGCAGTGCTATCTACCGATCGGAAGCGCAAGGGCGCCAACGTTTCGGCCATTTAAAAATTTAAATAGAATATAACTAAATACGTGTTATCCCTTTGTTTCTCAGTGGTTTCACTGTGAAACGACGTACATACAAATTTCTTGCTACATTCCTAGCGGCATATGATTGAAACCATTTACAGTATATGACGTATAAGGCTCCCCCCACCTTGAAATTTATTGCGCTCCGCCATTTGCATTGGCGTTGCTCATGTATTAGTCGGTAATAGAACGTGTTTTGAACTGGGTTAGTGATGTAAGCAATTTTGGTGGTTTTAGATCATTTCGCTATGGCTGGTAAGTTTATTCTTTCATTTTAAATGTTAAAAACATTTGTATCGATGATTAATGCTCCCTATTACTTAAAGTTATCAACTTACAATACTTATCGAAGATACAAAATGCCGGTTTCGCCGTGAAATCACTAGGAAGTTACGAACCTATTTTTTTTATTTCAGGAAAAGAAGTGTATGCATTCAGAGAGCTGGAGAATATGTCGTCGGATGATTTATATGCATTATTAGAGAGCATTCCTTCGGATGGCGAGTCAGATGAACCAGTAGTGATGAAGATGATTTGCTTGACCGAATATGCCAATAATAGTATTGAAGACGACCAACCAGACCAACCTGCAAGAGTCGACAATTCTGAGAATATTCCTGGTGATGAAGCCTTCTCAGACGAGGAAGACAATATTCCTCTTTCTATTTTGAGGGATAGAGAACTAGCGAAAAGACCACCTGGACCAAATCAACGTCATTTTGCGTAGTACTAATATCAAGCAGTTCACTGAGGAAACTGGACCTAAAATTCCAGACGATCTGGAGAAGCCAGTAGATTTTTTTTATACTTGTTCCCCAGAACTCTAATTGATAAAATTGTTTTTGAAACAAACTTCTGCGCTCTTCAGAAACCTGGAGGAGACTCTTCATTTACCTCAACTTCTGCGAAAGAGACTGAAATTTTCATTGCAATTTTTTGGGCCACCTCTTGTTTGATACTAGTAAGCATATCTTATTCTAACTTAGAGAACATTTCGTCGACTTTTGAACTCTGTATTGACATGTATGAGCTCTATTGCCTGTGCAATTAGGTACAAAAGTTGTTACGTTTTTTAGCCAACTTTGGTCGGTTTGACCTTCCTTATCATGCTTATTATCACCAAATGTTTCTGCTTTACTCGAATGCCTTATTTAGTGGTAAGTCCAAATTAATCTCAAAAATAAATATTTTAATCGATGATTAGGTTAGTTTCTGATAACACTGAAAAAAACTATAAAATACCTCGATTACAGCCAGGGTAGCACGAAATATTCATAAAATATCTATTCAATATTTAATAATATTTTTATCTTACTTAAATATTTGGTTTCTTAAACAAATATTTAATAAATATTTGGAATATAATATTATTATTAAATATTTATTCAATATCTTTTAAATATTTTAAATACAATATTTCTTTTATAATATGCATTAAATATTTACTTTTCAATCAATGAAAAATATTAAATCTGCATTATTTAGGAAATATTCATTAAATATTTTCGGCTATGGCACATGTGCGTGTGACCCCGAGCGAGCAATTGCATAATGGCAAGCCGACCTGTTTGCTGGCATCCATTTTGCCTGTGAGTTTCACTATGATAGCGTGCTTCCTGTGTACCTCCAAGTGGTACACTATTTGAGTATTTTTTTTTGTGGAAAAGGGTAAGTTTTTCGATAACTAATCTGACTAGTAAACATTATTGTGCCAGTTGAGTATACAGGTATTTACAAGACCATAAATAACTAGCTTTAACAGTTATTTGGGATTGGTGGATTTATCTGAGAATGAATACGAAAATTATATTCATAACATCCTAATGAAAAGTCATCCAACAGAAGTGCTTTTTTAAATATCACAAGTATTATTATTTTTTTGACATAGTAGGGGGCAAATCAGCTGTAACTATTTTAAAATTTTAAAGTTCAACAGCGGCGTTCCAAAATTTTTACAGTCGAAAATACTATATTTTTGTTCTTTGAATTGTAATATAAAATCGCAAAATAGTTATGGCTAAATTAGCCCCCTTACTACTGCAAAAAAGTTACATTTCAACAAAATCAATAAGTGGTCTATTTTTAAAAACCATTTCTTTGAAAGTTAGTCAAAGGATCAAGTTGTGCCAATGGACATTTTTCATCAAGATATCTAAAATAAAATTCCGAATTTTCTTAAAAATTAACCAAATCTCATAGGAAGAAAATGTGGGGTCCATTTAGGTGCATTATAGAGCTGCTTTTCAGTGACCCAGTTGAGCTACTCGGAGTAACTCGGCAGTTCTGAGCTCCAATATTATTCCACATAATTAGTAATTTTTTAGAATGTTTTTTAAATGATATTTTTATAGCAAATTAAACCATTATATCTAGAATTAATTTTCTTCATAAATCCTATTTTATAAAAGCATTCCTAAAGGTTTTGCTAAGATAACAATGATTAATTTTCCATATACTCCGAAAATATGTATCAGATTAATGCTTGAAATTCTATACATATTTACGAAAAATAAGAGGTATTTCATCAAAATATAAAATTGATATTTAAAAATCTTTCCTCATATATTTTCTAAATATTTAAAAAAAATTAATTATACGAGGGATGTCTTTTAAGTTTTGGATACAGAAACATAGTATCTAGGCCGCGCGCATCGAACGTCATTCCAGAATCGTAACCTCATCTCTTTAGTAAACTTAAATTCAAAGTTTCACAACAATACGTGAAGTGTTCTCACTAAAGTGAATTTTTAAGTGTCACCAAGTCATTAGAAAAATTTAACTCAACCGAGAACATTTTCGCGCCATAATTTATTACAACTTTCAGAGACAATTATCGCAACAAGAATGCCTTGCTGAGTTACTATCTGTTTTCGGCAACGAAGCGCCATATCAGTCGACAATTTCCCGTTGGTATGAAGAAATCAAACGTGGACGGGTGAGTCGTAGCGACGATCCCAGGGTGGGTGCACCAAAAATGGCAGTCACCCAGGAAAACGTCGATGCTGTGCGCAAACTCATCATCGAAGATAGACATGTGACATATCGCGAGATTGTGGCGACCTTGAAGATCTCAAAGACCTCAATTCAAAAAATTTACATGAAGAATAAGGAGTAAGAAAATTAGTTTTGTCGTTGGATACCCCACCTGTTGACTGAAGAGCAGAAAGCAGCCAGGGTTAATTGGTGTCATTTCCGGAAACTCAAAAAATGTGTACAGCATTGTTAGTGGTGATGAATCGTGGATTTACTGTTATGAATAAACGACAGTTAGCTGTTTGGATGTTCCAAGGTGAAGAAAAGCCAACAAAAGTCATCCGTTCTCGAAGTGTTTCGAAAAAGATGGTCGCGATATTTTTGTCAAGAGCGGGTCATATTGCCACAATTCCTCTTAATGAGCAAAGAACTGTTACTGCGGATTGGTATACCACCATTTGTTTTCCAAAAGTCATCTCCGAGCTTCAAAAAATCAACCCCGAAAGAAGAATCATCCTCCACCAAGACAATGCAAGTTCGCACACAGCCCAAAAAACAAGGCAGTATTTAATGGAAGAAAACGTGGAATTATTGGACCATCCTCCATATAGTCCCAATCTAGGTCCTAACGATTTCTTTACTTTCCCGAAAATTAAAAACAGACTGCGTGGTCAAAGGTTCCAGTCACCAGAAGAAGCACGTGACGCATTCAAAAATGCCGTTTTGGATCTGCCAGCAAACGAGTGGAATAAGTGCTTCGAAAATTGGTTCGAGCGCATGCAGATGTGATCTTCGTGGAGAATATGTACTTCGAAAAACTATAAAGTCATTTAAAACTACCTACCGTGTTGTTTTATTTCCATATGCAAAACTTAAAATACATCCCTCGTAGGTACTACAAATATCTATAATGAATATTTTGTGAATATATAAGAAATATATTTATTAAATATTAAAAAATCTGTCGCTAGAAATATTTCATATTTTTTAAAAATATTTAATAAATATTTAATGCTATGGATTAACTGCCTCTATGATCCGAAATCCCATAATACATTTATTAACAGATACAAATTTGGTAGGATGCTAAGCATTTTACGCATCTGTTTTCTTCCCGCTTCTCTGACCATGACCAACAGCATACAACGTCGTTTCATGATTGTTTAATGACTAAATTCCTGAAAATATCCCTCATATAGATCCTAATTTTGCCCTTCCAATCACCAAACCATCTATTTTCGATGACTTTACGAGTACATAAAACCTACCTACTATCCCCATTTTTACTAAATTCTGGGACTCCAAAACGATACAGACCTCGCGCACTGTGTCAGAATTAGCTCTGCATTACATTTCATGTCCATAAATGACGAAACGACTAACAAAACACACAGTTATTTCGCATATCCCATCCAGTGTTCCCAGTCTGTCACGCACCCGCTGTCACTGACTGTTCGACTGTGGTTATGCTCGTTTGAGTTATGGTAGGTTAGTTTCGTAAGTTTCCTTGGAAATGCAGTGCAACCTTGGCCGGTCCATTGACCGGTTGCTAAACGGTGGCCGCCCAAAAACAGAAAGAAGTCTCTCCGAATGCAATGCACGCGTTCAAGGCCAACCGTGTGGCGTCCGTCACCGAGGGGGAACTGCATTCTGCCTGCCCAAATGCAAGCCGGGCAGGCTTGCCAGTGCAGTACGGATATCCCTACAGACAAGGCGGCATTGCTGAGCAGTAACCCGATAGATACTACACTCAAACATTTTTCAAGCAAATCACTGTATAAAGTTGTTTTTTTGCTCCGGATAAAGTTTTTTAGGCTTCTGGATTATCTTGAACTAAAAGTTCGTTACCCCGATAGCTTTAAATATTTTTAAAAAATATTTGTTAAAGACTTGTAGCGACAGATTTTTTAATATTTTATAAATATATTTCTTATATATTTATAAAATATTCATTATAGATATTTTTAGTATATATAATTCATAGATATACTTTTGCGATATTTTTTCCAATATTTAGAAAATATACGAGGAAAGATTTTTAAATATCAATTTTATATTTTGATGAAATGTCTAAAATTTTTCGTAAATATGTATGGATTTTCATCATCGATCTGATACATATTTTCAGTGTATATAGAAAATTCTCCATTAGTTCTTTTAGCAAAACTTGTAGGAATGCTTATATAAAATTGGGTGTATAAAGAAAATTCATTCTAGATATAATGGTTTAATTTGCTAGAAAAATATTACTAAAAAAACATTCTAAGCCTCTTCTGCATCTTGCAAGTCCACTCCTCTGAAAAAAAACTTACTAATTACGAAGTATTTTTTTTTTTTTTTTTTTTTTTTTTTTTTTTTTTTTATTTTTTTTTTAACGAGGGGGGAATGCATTTACGCACCATACCATAGCACGAGCTACGACGTGTGTGGGGCTCCAGGGTCTTGAAGAGATCACCTAATACCCACTAAACCCTAAACCTCCGCGTGGCCCGACTCATCAGCGTCTCGGTAGGCCATGTGTTGTGCGTGACCTGCGGTCTGCTACAACGTCTCCTCATGTGTTTCAGTCTCTGGGAACGCCGGGTTGGTTCCCTTTACCTCGCACATTCTATCGATGTCGTTAAGCGATCATCGATAGAGGGTCTGCTAGTTTCTCTTGAAACTCTTGTTTTCGAAAAATCAAGAGTTTCAAGTCATCTTACCAATATGTGTTCCTGGTCCTGGTCCTGAAGGGTCCTGGTCCTGGTGGGTCCTGGTCGTGGCGGGTCCTGGTTGGTCCTGGTCCCGGTGGTTCCTGGTCCTCTGCATCCACGCCGTGGGGGGGGGGGAGCAGCCGCAAATTCTCCTAGTCTCCTAGTCAAGGTTCCAGTTAGCGGGTGCCAACTGGGACCTTGGTCTGGGGTACCTGGTTCTGCGGTTGCGAGGCCTCTCGTCCGGATCGTAGTCCATGAGGAATCGTAGCTGCTCGTTCGGGTGGTCCTGAGCTTTCTCGAAGGTCTTCTCCGCTTTTTTCCTCATGTACTCGTGGATGGTATCCCAATGCAGGTCTCTACGCAAGGTTGAGTTCCTTACGTAGGAAGGTGCATTGGTGGCGATCCGGAGTAGCTTCATCTCTAGAGCAGCAAGTCGCTTGCGGTAGCTGGGGGCAGCGTACCCCCAGACCGCGGAGGCGTAAGCGAGCTGAGGTCTGGCGATGGCCTTGATCAGCCGTAGCTTGGTCGCTAGCGGCATCTGGCTGTGTCTACCCAGTAATGGATAGAGTTGAGCCATGGCTGCTCTGGTTTTTGCGATGACAGCTTCTATGTGCGCTTTCCAGGTGAGGGACTTGTCAAAAACGATCCCCAGATATTTGACATTGTCGCTCCACTGGATATCTTCATCGAAGATGGATGCTTCGAGAGGTCTTGCAATCCTTCTTCGTTGAATGAAGATTGCCTGCGTCTTCTGGACGTTGATGCGGATTTTCCATTTCACGCACCAGTCCTGAATTTGGTCCAGTTCACCCTGTAGTCTCCTACGGATGATCTCGGGTCGTCTATGCTTGGCGGCTATAGCAGTGTCGTCTGCATATAGGGCCAGCATTGTGTCAGCTGTCTTCGGCACATCGTAAGTATAGATGTTGTAGAGCAGGGGGGCTAAGGCTGACCCCTGGGGCACGCCTGCTTCCAGCTGACGTCTTGTTGAATGGCATGTACCAATCTTCACCGTGAACCATCTTTGTGTTAGATAGCTCTGGATCAGTTGGCACATGTTCGCATCGATTCCGGCGGCTTCCATTTTGGCGATGAGTCCATCGTGCCAAACTCGGTCGAAGGCTCGTTCCACGTCCAGCAGGACGAGACCGGTTGCCTCCTGGAGATTGAAGCCGCTGGTGATGTTTTCCGTCAGTCGTAGCGCTTGGAGTTCCGTGTTGTGGGAGGATCTGAAGCCGAATTGCTCTGGGGGGAGAAGTTGCAGTTCTTCTGCCTGCTTCTCTAGTCGAACGGCGATAGCCTTTTCGACTACTTTGCCCACCGAGGAAACCAGGCTGATGGGCCGGTAGTTCTGGGGCAACTTCCGGTCCTTGCCTGGCTTGGTGAGCATTATAACCTGGGCTTCCCGCCACCGCCGCGGGAAGTGGTTAAGTCTCAGAGTGGCATTGGCGATGTTGGTGAGCGCAGCAATGCCTTTGGTGGGAAGGTTCTTCAGCATCCTATTGTTGATGCCGTCCCTTCCCGGCGCCTTTCTGACCTTCAACCTGCGGATGATCAGACGGATTTCCTCTGGACTGGAGGGGTGATCCGTCTCCTGGCCAGGTGGTCGACTCCTCATGTTTTCGGCTGCGACTTCCACGGCCTCCTCGTGGTTGTCGTCCTCGTCTTCATGGTAATTGAGTCTGCATTCGGATTCTAGCGAATCGGCGAATGCTTCGGCTTTTTCTTCACTGGAGTAGGCCAAGCCGCGTTGGCCGTGAAGAGTGGGGATCGTGGTGCGCTGACGACGAAATTTTCGCTGCATAGACCAGGCCGTACCATCCTGGGTCTCTAGTTCTGCACAGGCTGCATTCCATCTGTTGTTTTGGAGTTCCGCGAGTGCGTTCTTCAGAGCTAACGATGCTCTGTTTCGCGCAACTCTCGACTCCTCTGTCAACAGCTGGAGATGTTCTCGCTTGAGTCTTCTGTTCTCCCTGATCAGGTGCCTAATATGGTGCGGTGCTGGACCATTTAGGTATCTAGGAACTGCCGTAGTCTCGGAGCGGGTGCTGTCCTCGTGCGCTCGCAGGACAGCATTCTCCAGCTCCTCTACTGCGTTGTCCAGTTCCTCCGCTGATCGGATGGTTGGAATTTGAGTGATGTTCCTCTGGACGTTGGATTTGTAAAGGTTCCAGTTCGTCCGTTTGGTGCTCAAGCTATCTCGAGTTCTAGACCCTGTACCAAGTGTTAGTAGAATCGGATTGTGGTCCGACGATCCTTCCACCAGGGTCTCTATCTCGAACTCCTCTCTGATGTTGCGGAGGATGGCTATGTCCAGTACCGCAGGTCGCCCAAGGCCGAATGGAATGTAGGTTGGTTGCTCCGGACCGACGATGACCCCCGCCAGGGCATCGACGTGTTCCTGGAGCTGCCTTGCATTCCTGTCTTCGACGTTGTTGTTCCAAGCCGGAGACTTGCAGTTTAGATCTCCGATGACTATGCGTGCTCCTGGGCCTCTCAGGAGGTCAGCGATGTCATCTTCGTCTAGGGCCTCCCCTGGTGGCACATATAGGGAGGTGATTCTGTAGGGACGGTGGTTGTGATGGACCTGGACCGTGATTCCGTCCCCATTTATGTCTGCGGCATCGTCGAGGACATGACTCGTCAAGGTACGTTTGACGAGTAATGCGACTCCTCCACCTCTGCCCCTTCTGTCGTAGCGGTACGTCTCGTACCGCGGGAACGTCAGACTATGGGCAGCATCCAACTTCGTTTCTTGGATGGCCATCACCTCTGGTTGGTACTGGTCTAGTATCTCCTGGATTTCTGGTTTCCGTGCCCTGAAACCGTTGATGTTCCAGGAGATAATGCGTAGAGATTCTACGTTTTGACCTGTAGACATTTCGGGTCTAGTGCTTGTCTTGCATCTTGGCCTCGAGTGCATCCAGGCGGGTTATGATGGCTTGCATCATTGCTAGCAGTCTGTCATCGCCGTGTTGCTTCTGCGCAGTAGTTCCAGTAGCAGTGGCGGCTGCTGGGGCAGAAGTGGACATAGGCTTCTTCACTTTTTGGGCGTAAGAAGTCCTATTTGTGGTGGGGACTGCTTTGGGGGCAGAAGCAGCTTTCTTCGGCGCCTTACTACATCCCTTGTAGTTGGCGGGGTGGCCTTCTCCACAGAGGCAACACTTGGCGTTTCGTTGCCCTGTTGGCGG